TAGCCCTTACTATGGGGATCACTTAGATATAAGTATCAAAATCAGATTACAACGTCCTGGCAAGTTATTTACATTTGAATTTTCATCCTAGTTAACACAAAACGTGTTTTAAACGTTTAATATACGTATTGATACGTATTAAAACGTATTATAAACGTGTTAAACACGTCTTGCGTTTAATAAAATACTTTATTGATTGCACAAATATGCAATATGAGCGCTTATTTTCCTTTTTGTAGTATTAAAAATCTCCAATTTACATAAATATAAACAAGGAAAGCAAAATAATATATTCTTGAAGTTATACAAGTAACAAACATAAAATATATTCAGAAAAAAAGTTTCTTTTAAATGGAACAAATTCAAAAACAACTTATTCTCAAATCCCTTCTTAAAATGACTTTTCACAAACAATGTTTAGTATTGAAGTCAACAATGCAACATTGCAACTTCTTACTGTATTCTGGATGATGATTGGGTCTTTTGTACCTTTGCCAATGTATCTGAAAGTTGTGATGCATTGCTTCTGTTGCCTGTTCTGAGTAAAGCCCAAGAGCCTGGCCATATCTGTCGATGAAATCTTTTACATGAAAAAATACTGCATGGACCTTGGGTGTTACAGACACATTTTGCAATGCCAGATAAGACACTCTGAATGCTTCAATTATTTGTGGGTAGTTTGGATTAAGGTTGCACCCAAAACAGCCAGATACTACCGCATTGAATTTTCGAAAAGCATCAATGAATGGGATGGCTGCATAGCATGAGTGTTTCTCAGCAATTGATTGAAGAATATCAATATTGTGTAGCAGCTTTCTGGACTCATTTCCTGCAAAATGTCCACCATGGTAAGGTTGTTGTTTAATGTGTAATGCATCAGACCAAAGAGTTACTCGAGGAAAAACTTGAAGCAGCGCAGCAAAAAGATGATTAAAAACTCCAATTAAGAGATGCAATTCCATGGGAGGAAGAAAATTCAAAACCAAAGTGTCTCCAGGTAGTTTAAATATTGGAGAATGAACAACATTTTTATAGTCACGAGCTTTTCTAATATTGGAACCAGCTGACTTGAAGAGTGAGACATTTTTTTCCAGAGATTCAAAAGTCCTCAATTTCCCTTGATTTACAAGTTCTTTTGAACCAGATTCACACCAGGTGCAGGGATGTGCACTTGAGTGTGCTTGAAGCCCACAAATTATATTAGCAAGTTTTAGATCACAGGACATGACAAACTCCTGGTCTTTCAATTTAATCAACTCAAATACTTGCAAAACGTTAGTATAACTTTCTTGAAGCTCCTCACAGACAGCAATGACTAGTTGTTGTTTTACACCAGTGTCCTTAAAAACCTTGCTTGTGCAGTTGATTTTTGCTGGGGGAATGCAAGGTTCATGATTTAATTCAATAATTCCCAGGGTAACTTTCAGAAACCCACCTCCTCCGTCAATTCCAACCTTTACAATGTGATTTTTTGATGTACTTCTCATGGCTATAATTTCATTTTTAAGCTCATGGAAGTTCTTGCAATGTATGACTGTCCTCACACATCCAGCGTGATCTTGAATTAATGAACTTGTGAAATGATGTACAAGTTGCTTGCTGAATTTGTCAAATTTTATGGCGTAATTTTTTTCAACAATCTGTTGTGAGGTTGACTGATTAATAGTAGCTGCTAACCTCTTAATGCCATTGTTTGAAAGCCCTGTGTTTGCTTGAACTTTAGCAAGGTCTTTTACACTTATTGATGAATTTGAAGAGAAAAGTTGTCTAGCTGATGACGAACCTATAGTGAATACAAAAAGTTAAAAATTTAACTTATCATTAATTTGAACTATAAAAAACTATATAAAATTTATACTTGGTGTTACTGGAAGCATTCTTCCACCATAAAGTTGACTTAATCCAACAGTTCCATGTGGAGAAGGAGCTTTATTTGAAACAACAAGAGCTGCAATTCTTTCTGATGCCAAAGGATCCTTTGTTACTACAGCAACAAGATTATTTCTCAAAGTGCCTTTTGTGCAGTTGTGAGGCAATCCTCGACCAATAATTGAAAAACAGTCTGAGCATCTTTTTTCTACTGTTAAAGAAGGTGTTCTAGTTGCTGAACTTTGTGCGAATTCAATTTTCATTTGACCATTGTGTCTCAGTTTACCAATTGAACAGATCAAGCAGTTACAGTGAGAGTCTCGAGTTTCTGGTCGAAGTTTTATAGTCTCAAACTTATACAATGATGGGAGTGTGATGTCTTCTCCACTTTCCTTCCTTCTTAAACAAGAGCGACATTTTTCACATATTCCAAGTGGAACTTTGTCATCATTAAAGTTGATTTTCTCTTTCAGTATAATCTGACATCTTTCTTTTAGATTTGATGTTAGCTTTCGTTGACTTTTACTAAAACAAAGAAAACAAACAGATTTCCTGCATTCTTGGTGGTTTTTAGCAGTATTTGGCATTTTCGGTAAAATTAGATGTGCTCAGTTTAGCTCTCATTAGTAAAGTAAAAACAACGTGCTTTTACCCAGAATTCAAAAGTAGAAATTTATTCCAAAATAATTTATGTCATAATTAAATACGTTTCATATCAATTAAAGCAGTTTTTACAAACTAATCATAGTTTTGGTATGTAGAAATGCAAAATAAGCTGTCATTCCGCATGTTTGTGCAATCAATATATTTTATGTTTGTTACTTGTATAACTTCAAGAATATATTATTTTGCTTTCCTTGTTTATATTTATGTAAATTGGAGATTTTTAATACTACAAAAAGGAAAATAAGCGCTCATATTGCATATTTGTGCAATCAATAAAGTATTTTATTAAACGCAAGACGTGTTTAACACGTTTATAATACGTTTTAATATGTATTAATACGTATATTAAACGTTTAAAACACGTTTTGTGTTAACTAGGATGAAAATTCAAATGTAAATAACTTGCCAGGACGTTGTAATCTGATTTTGATACTTATATCTAAGTGATCCCCATAGTAAGGGCTATCATTCCGCCAAAGGGTTTTCCCGGGTCAGAAAGTTAAGGTTAGAACCTATTTTATAACACTGTGAGGAGCACGTGCTCCCCCTCCCCCACCTACTTTTTTTCTAAAGAACCTTTTTTTTAAAAAAAATTCTAGATATAGAAGACTTTTTTTAGAATTTGATGATTGTGCCCCCCTTCGAAACCCTTGTCGTCAGCCCTGGTTGTAACTAGAAAAATAAGTAGGAAAAATGATTTGTTAAAATTCAGATTTCAGTTAAAAATTTGACATTCAATCTATGAAAATGCAATAAAAATTTATGAAAACTCTTTTTATAGTCAGATGCCATCATCATATTTTAGAGTATATCATATTTTAGAGTATAGCATATTTATCATATTTTGGAAAATATTATTTCAAAAAGTGACAACAACTGATACTTAGATTTTATAACTGATTATAAATTTTAAAACTATTAAATTCGAGCAGCCAAGGCGCAGTGGTAGCGCGCTTGCCTCAGATGCAAGGGTTCCGTGGTACAATCCCACCTTTAAGTAAGTTTTGGAACATTGAATATGAAGGAAGCATGAAATTCATGTTAAATGTCTTCTCCTGTGCTCTTTGATAAGACCGTAAAGTTTTTAAAGTGGTTGGAAATCACAAAAAAATTATAATTAAAAGCAATTGTTTACTGATTTCAAATAATGCTTGACAGCCTTATGGGGAGGAGTTTCGAAAGTTTTAACAAATATTACTTGTGGGGGGGGGGGGGGAAAGAAACTTTTAATTTCATATTATAGCAGAAATAGTAAAATTTAACTCAGAGATATATTTGATTTATTTAAAAATTAACTCGGAGATATATTTGATTTAAAAATAATAGCACGGCACATACAAGATTAGGGAGGGGGGAGGGGAGTTGATAAACATGTCACAAAATGTTACATTGTAGAAGTCTAAAATGCTCAAAAATGCGTTGCTTGTTATTTAAACAGCCTCTAATGACAAATATTTGCTACAGATATACAAATCCTAATTGTTTTCACTTTAATACAAATACCTATTTTTGACATATTTTAGGCCAATAATCAAATAAAATTCGGCAGTACTTAATGTTTTTTTCTGATTTTTTTTTTAACAGTTTGTTTTCGTATGTGAAAAAGATCATATTTTTTTACAGACGTGAAATTTTCAAAATATTTTGTTTTTGGCTTACCCCAATATATATATATATATATATATTTATATATATATATATATATATATATATATATATATATATATATATATATATATATATATATATATATATATATATATATATATATATATATATATATGTAAACAACCCTCAGAAGAAAAAATGAGGTCAACAATAATTTGCCGACCTCAATCTTTTTGAGGTCGGCAAAAGTTATTTGATACAAAGGTCTGACCATAAAACAGAAACAAGGTTGGCAATTTATGCCAGCCTAAAACACTTTCAGGTCGGCAGTTAAGTCGGCATTGCCAAATGTCGACCCTAATACTGAGAGTTGTATGTATATATATATAACATATATATAAACATATATATATATAAAATGAATTTTAATTGTTATATTTTTAAAGATTTATTCAAACACTATAGCTACTTTTATTACAATTTTATTTATAATTGCTATTTTTTTTTTGCTTAATATTTTTTCAATTTTGCTTAATTTTCTAACTATATTAATTTTTTTATGGTCGCATCATAGTCATAACTTTTTTTTTTCATAATCTTGTTTTAAAGTTTGTTTATTAAATGTAATCATATTCTAGATTTAAACTTAAATATAAAATTCATTGATCATGTAATAAATTTTAACTATGTTAAATTAATTGCAAGAAATACAAGTACAATGTCAAGAAATTAATTAAATAACACAAGTTATCAATATTATTATTATATATTATTTAAACCAGAAATATTATTTATTTTATACAATATCATTTAGTCTATAAACATTGTGGTTTAATCTAAATTATTTTTTCTATTAGTTTTACAGAATTCTAATTTCTCAGAATGTGTTCAGCTGAAATCACCAGGTACTTATATACAACTTACTGACCCTCCTCCCCTGTATCCCCAACCTTTTTTATATAACAATTTGTGATTATTTATGTTTGAAATACCTTTTTTTTATAGTAATTTTTGGTTTTTAATTTAAAATCAGAAATATTTAAATAATAAATTAATAGGTTTTTATTTCATTTAGGCAGATTTTTAAATCAACATAAAGCTCAGTTTAAAAAGTAAGTCAAGTTTTAAGGAACTCCAAATTATTTAAATTGATAGTTACAAGGGCATATGTTATTTACTCTGGCTAATTTCAGAATGGATTCACTTGATGTTTATATGGAGAAAAAACGTCAACGTGCTGATATGATCTTAAACAAGGTTTTGTTAATATTTTAGATTATAGAGTAATTATATGTCAACTCAGTTTAACCATAAATAATTTATTTTGCAAAATTTTTCACAGATAACAAACCCAATGAATAAATTATCATGGAGAAGTTTAAAAATATAAAGAAAATGTAATTTTAAAACTCATTTTGGCGTGAGAAAAAAACATGATTCAAAATGCGACTGTAGTGTTTACATATTTTTTTTAGTTGATACATTTACATTTTGAATTGAAAATGAAAAATGCTTCAAAATGCAAAAACAACGCTTTTAAAAGCAGTATGGTCACACTTTATATATATATATATATATATATATATATGTATATATATATATATATATATATATATATATATATATATATATATATATATATATATATATATATATATATATATATATATATATATATATACACACATACACACACATATATATATATATATATGTATGTATGTATGTATATATATATATATATGTATGTATGTATGTATATATATATATATATATGTATGTATGTGTGTATATATATATATATATATGTATGTATGTATGTATGTGTGTATATATATATATATATATATATATATATATATATATATATATATATATATATATATATATATATATTTATATTTATATTTATTTATATATGTGTGTGTGATAAAATTCAATCTTTTCTCCTTTATTTTTTAGTCTTATAAATAATATCTTTTATTACACTATATCCATCATTAAAAATAAAAAGTAAACAAAACTGCAGTATCAGTAAAAAAAAATTAAACAAAACTATCAGTAAAAATCTACTAAAATAAAGAATCTTATTTTTTTCTAAAAAATATCTCATAACTGATTTTGGTTTTTAAATTTTTACATTTTTGTTGTTTAATACAGAATACTTAAAACAATCGTGTTAACCTTGTTACAACTAAGTATAAATTCAATCAGTACTTTAGTACTTTAGTTATTTTAGAACTTTTTTGCCGACCATTTTACTTGTTTACAGTTACATTTTACAACTGTTTGACATATGTGGGTATTTATAACTGGTTGGCATCCATTTATAAGTATCAAAAGTAATTCATCTTTTTTTTAACTTTTCTGTCTTTGAGTTTAGCATCTAAAATAGAAAACAGATTTTCAATTATATTAAGATGAGTTGATTATGCCGGCCACTTAAAGGTAGGTATAGCAACATTTAGTATAAATCTTTCTCTTTTTTTTTTCTTCTTTTTTTTTTTTTGCTGTATACTTTATGTGTTGCTGAAATATATAGTTTCCATCTGAAATCATATAGGTTATAATAGAAAATATAATGATACTTATGTTGGTCCATGATCCTATCAACTCTGTACAGGTTTTTCACTGCATAAGCATTAAATGCACCCCAAATCATGATTTTTTAATCACATTTTGTTGTGTATACCCTGGATTATATGGCTCACCTTTTTTTTTTTCCGTATTCTCTCTCAGTTACCATATTGTTAAGTTTAAGTCATCGCTGCACCATTTTAGTCTCTTAACTCTTTCGCACCAATATTTAATATTTGTAAATAGTAAAAATAAAAATACTATACTGAAAATGATATATATGAGATAAAAGGCATCATATTTACACTCCATAACTATATATTTTCAAAAAGATAAATATTGTCTCTTTTTATATAAGATAAAAGATTGTCTCTTTTTTAAAAAAAATGAAATACCAATGAAGGCGGATACAAAGATCATGTGACTTTAGCGAATTTTTTTTTTTACAAAAAAAAAAGTCTGGCTTCATACTTTAAAAAAAGTTAATTACTTATCAAAACTTAAAACTGGTGCATTCTGTAAAGAAAATAGATAAAAATAGAGTACTTAAAAATCTTCAATATATCAAAATTTATCAACAAATTAGCCAGGACCACAAAAATTTAACTAAATATAATACCACAAAAAATAGTTTTATACCATGCTGGGCTTTTAAAGCATAAAATCAAGTAGTTTTGATTAATAAATTAAGGCTCTGCTAAAAAAAACCTTTAATTAATGATTTATTACTACAGGGTCGTTTCGGTGCGAAAGAGTTAACCCGATTTTTCTTGTTTATAAAAGGCTTTTTTGTTTTCCACCCTGAAGTAAACTTTTTACCTACCTTGCAAAAGTCGTATTGTTACATAAGTTTTCAAGGTTTAAATTTTGCACATATAATTAAATTATATATATATATATATATATATATATATATATATATATATATATATATATATATATATATATATATATATATATATATATATATATGTATATATATATATATATATTTATATATATATATATATATATATATATATATATGTATATATATATATATATATTATATATATATATATATATATATATATATATATATATTTATATATATATATATATATTTATATATATATAACCCTCAGAATTAGGAAAAATAATTTCCCTACCTCTATCTTTTTGAGGTCGGCATCAGGTTGGCAAAAGTTATTTGATATAAAAGTCTGACCATAAATCATGGAAATGAGTTCGGCAATTTTTAGTCAACCTCAAACACTTTCAGGTCCGCAGTTAGGCCGGCATCTGATATAATATATATATATATATATATATATATATATATATATATATATATATATATATATATATATATATATATATATATATATATATATATATATATATATATATTGTTTTTTATCACTTCTTTCACAATCAATTGATGTAGTTTTTAGCAATCAAACCCCAACTTCCTGCTAATTAAATTTTGAAGCAAAAATCTAGACTTTAACATGAAAAAAAACATGTCTGAAACATGTTTTTTTCTAAATTGGTAAATATGAATTTAAACTGATAAGCATCTAAATCATTTTTTCTATAGTAGGAAAATATTAGCATATTTTCCTACAATATATAAAATTACTAAAAGCGTTTGAGGTCAAATGTTTTTGTTGTCAAAAAAAATAACAATAAAAAAATTTGACACAAAGGGGTTAACATAAAAAATCAAAACAAGGTCGGTGATATTTTGCTAACTTCAAACTCTTTCAGGCAGGCAGTTAGAATTAAGGTTGGCATTGCCGAATGCTGACCCTAATTCTCAGAGCTGATAATGTAAAACATAATTTTAAAGAAATCTTCATTTGACATGTTTTGAATTTAAGGGCCCCCTTCCTTTCTTTTTTTAAATTTTAATTATTAAAAAAGTGTACTCTCGAGTCCTTAACAATGGGGGGGGGTTAATTTTTAAAAAATTTTCCCACCCATCCTAATCTTATTAAGACCTCCCTCCCTCTCCCCGCTTATTAATTTTTATTTGTTATCAACAAAAAATTTATATCTCGAAATTGAAAAAAAAAATTCAGTAAAAAATGACTTTAAAAACTAGAAAATAATTATTTTAGTCATTGATAAAAACAAAAACTTTCAGTGTAAACAGGCTTTAAATATTATCGACTTATTAAATCTCGATTTTTTGAAAAATGAGCTTTTTGGTTGTTTTTTTTTAACAAATTATAAAACTTATACCAGCATATTAAATCCTATTGAAATTATGATAAAACATCTGTTAGAAAATGCGCATTTGATTGCAAGCCACACTAGAATTAAATAGTTTTATTTGTGTTTTTTTAAAAACAATAAATAATAATAAAATAAAATTTTTCAAGGTATCAACATTGTCCTGATTATACCACTCAATTGTTTCTTTGTCTGAATTTAAAGATATATGATAATCCAATGCTTGAACAAGCTGTTTTGTGTTGTTTTATTGATTTAATAGTTACAAAATATAGGCAATTGATACAAATTCTTCAATTGATAAATTCTTTCTGGTAAAGAACTTTTCTTGGACATGAGTAGTCATATAGAAATCCTTTAAGAAACTTTTTTGTAACTGTCCTGAGTGAAATTATTTTGCTAAACGATAAAAAGAAGGCTTGCAAAGTTGTTCTTTGTATTAATGTACTTAAACCCTCTTCTCCTTGAAACCCATTGGTGGAAGAAGTTTTGATCATTACATTTTACAATTTGAAGTAATTTTTCAAATCTATCAATGACTTTACTGGACCAAAGCTTTACCAGCTTTGACAAAATTTTCTCCTAGTTTGCTAGGGGCATTGGCAGCCACAAACATATCATCAAGGTCATACTCTTTGAAATAAGTCTTGGCAAATGAATTGTCTGCATTTATAGTAACTAAAGAAATTAGTCCAATTAATTGCAATAGAGTGGCACAAAACATTAAATGTAATAATAGTAATAACATTGAAAATAATGGTATAGCAAAATTAAAAAAAAATAATTTATAGATCCATTGGCAATTGAGAATAATATTGATTTTAAAGAACTATTATTACTTAAATTTTTAATCTATTTATACAAATAATGTTAAAAAAATAAAACATGATTTTTGATGGTAATATAAATTGTTATAAAATTTAAGATTTAAAAATAATCACTTACTATCTGGTTATTTTATGTTTGTAGGATCAGAATTTATTTTTATACCTGCAATTATTCCACATGATTTTTTTTTTTTTTTGGCAACATATTAATAAATTATTAACATGGTTGTATAGAGCTTAAAAAGACTTAAAAAATAAGATGTCTTTTAATTTTAGAAGTTAAGTGGATCCAAAGTTGTAGCATTTTTTGTGCTGGAAAAACAGATGATTTTTTGACAAAAACGTCCTTAAGTGTGGAAAATAAGCTGAGTAATGGCACAGAAATAAAATAAGAAAGCATCAAAAATCAAGTGCAAAAAATAAAACAATGCCTAAAGGAAAAAAGGTGTAATATACATAATTTCTACGCCAAAATCTTAAGTACCATTTCATTAAGAAATCATAAATAAATACTTGGTTTGAATAGAAGAGCTATACTTGTTTTTTTCTTAGAGAACCTTTTATTTAAAAATGTTTTTTTTTTTTTAATAAACTGACATTAAAGTTTTTGAATAATTAGAACAAAGATTTTTTGTATAAATGTTGGAATGGTTCCCCATTCCATTAGATTTTTCATCCAAATTTTCAATTTAGGAATCCAAATTTTCAAAAACTTACTTCTTTTAAAAAAAAATGTTACAGCTCAAGTTTTTTTTATCAAAAGTGATCTTAAGACATTAATAATATAAGAAGTTAAGTGTCATTTATCATGTCACATGTAATGAATAATAAATGTCATTTATCATGTCACACTACAGTGTGACATAAAAAAAAAGATTTTAAATTCAAATTTTTATAACTGCATATAACAAAAATGGTATGTTACAACATACCACCCCCTTCCCCTTGGATATTTGGTGACACTTTCCTATATCTCTCCCTCCCCTAAGACAAGACTAAGTCATGTATTATTTGAACAGCCCCTGACTAGGAATTATTTATGTTTTAAAGTATAGATACAGTACTCAAGTAAATACAAGATGTAGTAAACATTGCTATTTTGAATCACATCATCTACTAAAGCTACTTTTAAAACATTAAAAATATATGTAAATACTGTATGAACCAACAATAAAAATGTTAATAACAATAAATATTTGATTTATAGGGTATTAGTTATTAAAAACAGGTTTTCTGTTTCAACAAAAAAAAAACTGATTCCTAAATGCATAACTTTTAGACAATTGTATCTTTAATTTTTTGATCTGAGTTACAATGTAACTTGGCCTTAAATGTGGTATTTAAAAGTTTTTCCCAAATAATTGTTAATGGTAACAATTAAACCAGTACAACCTGCTTCATGTCCTGCTGCCTTGTAGGATACGCTTTTTTTGGCAAAAGCTACAAGAAGCTAACTCCGACTTAAAACACAAGCCCCTGCCTTGGGGCTCTTGGTTGAGTAAAGGCTAGAGATGGTGTCTGGATAAAAATACTCATCTTGAGCAGATGTTAAATGCCTTTAGGGGTAAACAGATTCTATCTTTTGATCAGCCCTGCATCTCTTATTCATCTATTAGGCTGACGTAGATGTATTTATAATACATTGTTTCAAGTTTAGGATGTTGAATGCTGGATTTTCTTGACTCAATGCATGGGGTTTGCTAGTGTCTCTGTTATTATGACTAAGCAACACATTCTATTATCTTCTAATGAGGGTAAAGCTAAGCAACACATTCTATTATCTTCTAATGAGGGTAAAGCTATAAACTCTTTTATGGTTCTGAGGCCGGCTGTTAGTTAGGTTTCCCAAACTCTGTGGTAGCTCTCAGAGAAGCTAATTCCATCAACAGCTGTAAAATATCAAAGTACTAACAGTGCCATGTTGCGTATAGATGGTGTCCTTGTTCTTAGTTTTGGTGTGCATTGTTGAGGTCACATTTGCAGCCCTTTGTAACAGCTTAGGGTTTATTAATAGTAATGATGCTATTGCTTGGACTATTAAATTTTGTAATGAGTACTATCTGTGTTTTGAGTCAATTCCTTTAACAAATTTAAAAATGACTAAAGTAACAATAATTATAAAACACAAAAAACCTTTGTGAGACTTATTTGAGTTCAGCCGTCTCATCTTGTGATCTTAGTGTTGATGGTTATCTTCCTTTAATTCATAAAGACTCCAATAGTCATTAAGGCCTGGGCATTTACATTCGTAAGAATTCACTCATTTGTTGGGAAACTAGGTTTGTATCCATCGACTTCTCTTTTATCTGCTTTCGTTTAGCACCACTTCACTCTATCGCCTTTCTCTTTGTTCTATATCACTCTCCTTCTCAAATCTCAAAACTGCACTCTTTTTGATGTTATTTCTGATCAAATTGACCAAGCCTCTCTCTTTATCCATCAGACAATATTGTTGTTGGTGGTGACTTTAATGCTTATCACATTGAATGGCTTGGCTCTAGTGTCAGTGACTCTGCAGACGTTAAGGCCCACAACTTTTGCCTTTCTCTAACTCATATTCTAACTCTAACTCATATTCTATAACTCATAATCTCTAACTCATATTGTCAATTTCTATCTCGATTTTCAGACAACCCGAATCATTTACCTTCTCTACTTGAATTGTGTAATTGAATTTCTGATCCTACTCAGTGCTCAATTTCTCCACATTCATCCTTAGGTGCTTCTGATCACGGTTTGATCTCTTTAAAACTATTATCTCATTCTTCTTCATCATCAGATTCCCCCTATCATCTTACCTCTTACAACTTCTTTAAAGCTGACTGGAACTCTTTCTGTGATTTTCTTCGTGATGACCCTCGGGTAGAAATCTTTTGTCTTCCTGTTGATAAATGTGTTTCTTACATAAATTCTTCTATAATAAAGGTGAAATAAGCAAACATACATAAGTCTATAATAAAGGTGAAATAAGCAAACATACATAAGCGAGGTGAAATAACAAATCTGTTACCTCGCTTGTATGGTTCAGATTTTGTCTCCTCACCTAAAGGCAAAGCTGAATTAAGAATTTCACATCATTATAATCTCTTGATTTCACTAATATTTCACTGATATTGCCAACAAACAGGTTGATTCATTGACATTCATATTATTCCAGCTTCTTTATTTAATGTGATTTCCTGCTTAGACTCTTCTACAGCTTGTGGTCCGGACAACATACCTGTTGTAGTCTTGCAGAAGAGTTCTCCAGAGCTGTATCTATACTTTTAAAACTATTTAACAAGTGGTTATTGTATCTTGTTTTCGGGCATGCTGGAAAGCGGCATTTGTTATCCCTGTTTTCAAAAATTCTGGAGAGCGATCTGACTTGCCTAACTAACATCCCATTAGTCTTCTTCCTATCATAAGCAAGGTTTTTGCATCTTTATTTAACAAACACTTAATCTCTCATTTGACTCCTATAACTTATTTTCTGATCATCAATATGGATTTTGATCTTCTTGTTCTACAGCTGATTTGCTAACAGTAATAACCAATAGGTTTTATTGTACATGTGGAGAGGTTAAGGCTCTTGACATTTCTAAAGCATTTGATAAAGTTTGACATGCTAGCCTTCTACATAATCTTCTCATAGTGTATCAGGTAATATCTTAAAGATTATTGATTCCTTCCTTTCCAATCATAGAATAAAAGTTATCCTCGATGGACAGCACTCTTTTTTATATCTTGTAACTTCAGGGGTTCTTTGAGGTTCTATCCTTGGCCCTATACTCTTTTAGTTTATAATAATGATCTTCCAGATATTCTGACATGTAAGGTGGCATTGTTTGCTGATGGTACTACCATTTATTATTGTCTTGATAAGAAGCTAAAACTCTCTGATTGCTTGGAGTGGGCGATTGAGTTTGAAAAGGATCTCACTTCTGCTACAGCATGGGGCTCACAGTGGTTGGTGAACTTTAATTCAGATAAAATCCGATTTTTTTCTGCCAATCATTACCGCAATAATTTAGATCTTCCTATATTTATAAACGGCGATTTACTTGACGAGTCATATACCCTTCGTCTTCTAGAATTAACTTTTACTTTCGATCTTTCTTGGAAACCATATATCAAATCCATTGCAAAACTAACATCTGCTAAGGTTGCATCTCTTTATCGCGCTCGACACTTTCCCGATTTTATTCTCTATCTCTATAAATCTCAAATCCCTTCTTGTAAGGAATACTGTTGCCATATCTGGGACGGATCTTCCAATGATGCCCTTTCACATTTTTTTTGTTTTTTTAGAGGGTGCAAAAATGCATTGTAAACATAGTTGAACCTAATAGTGGTTGCTTGCAGCCTTGTTAGAAGCGAAGATGTTGAAAAGATAATTCAGTTTTTTAACTGTGTACATTTTCAACAATCGTGTTTAAAAAAGTTTTCAAAGTTTGAGTTAACATGGAATTACACTGTGAAATTTTTTTTTTACATCCAGTTTATAATTTTTGATATTTTTAAAACGTCACAAAATAAATTACGTACTATATTTATTATAAAATTTAAAGCAGACTAAATTTTGAAGTTTTCTTATATTTAGAGCGTCGGTACTAAACTTGGAGTTTCTAATGCAGTAACCCCTGCCAAAAATGTGCTTCGTTCCTCACCTCGTTTGAACCGAGAACGTTCTGACGAAAGAAACGTAGCATTGCATAAAGGAAGAAAATCTGTTCACTTTACGAGTGCTATTAAAGATACTAAATCTTGTTTAAATGCTACTATTGGTGATATGAGGTAATTTTAAAATGCTTCGATATTTATACTTTTGCAAAGAAAATTTTTTTTTTTTTCAAACGCAATAAAATGTAATCATGCATACATTTTTTGTAGATCTCCCAGTTTGAAAAAGACGCCTATTAAGTTTGATCTTCAAGCTTCTTTAGAGAAAGGTCTTACCTACAAACCGCACTCTGGAAAGTTAAAGCAGTCCTATTTCCAAGTAAATAGATTGCCACCAAAAAGTCTCGATACCAGCTCTGTAGAATTAAATAAAAAGTCTATTAAGGAAATCAGAAAAGAGCCGAGATCTAGGTTGGTATTATTCAACTATTTTAACAAAATTATATATATATATATATATATATATATATATATATATATATATATATATATATATATATATATATATATATATATATATATATATATATATATATATATAAAATTAGTAAAAACACTTATCTAATTTTTTAAACACTTATCTAAGTGTTTTTACTAAATTATCATTGCTCTGCTCTTTAAAAGCATTGAGCATTCTATTTGTAGAATAAATTATATATATATATATATATATATAAATTTTTTAAATCGATAGTTAAAACATTTTATATATTTTAGAAATGACAGAAGAATCGAGATGATAAAAGGTCGTGAAAATAAACGAAACTCAGCTATTGCCAAAAAAAGAAAAATGGATATTTAGAGGAATTATTTAATAAATTTTAAGTTTTTAATTTAAACTTTTAGCTTGTCGTTTAAGCTTAATTGAACCGATTCTCAACGTGTGTGAAGCAATGTATTTATAAGTGCGTTTATATATTTTGCGATGCTTATTGTACGTGTTTGTTTGTGTATATATATATTAAATCACACGTACTATAGAATGTAATAATGATGTAATTGAATTGTTAATGTTCGCTTAAATTTCTAAATGTCAATATTTACTAATAAATGTTCATTATTTTTTCAATCTTTTAAGGGTCGGTTTTTAAGTAGAGTTTTAAGGAAAGTTGAAAGTCTTACAAAAAGGTTTCTTTCCAAAAGGAGAATTTATTTTATTTCTTAGGGAAAATTTCTTCCGTTATTATTTTATAATATTTTTTACATTATACATTTATTTGTACTTTAGTTATACATTAGTGAGTATGCTCACTCTTAATCTGTCGATAATACCGGCATACAATCACATAACATAAATATCTTGATTGTTGAAGTTTTGAGCTTAAACTTTTGTAAAAACAGATAAATGTTTGTTCAAGTGGTAGGGCTAGTCATAGTAATAATTAACAAAAATATTTATAAATGGCTCCTGTGGTAAGTAGAATGTTGTTTCTTACCGAAATTAAAAAAAAAAACTAACAAGACTTTAAAATATTTTAAAGTATCAAATTGCATTCAACACAAACAATATATATAATTTATCTAATTAAATATATAGTTGTGTAAAATCAATTTTTGGTAAAAACTTCTGTAAATTTAGTATTTATAGTCAATCTTTGACAGATTATTAGCAACTGTGGGCAAGTCGAGAAAGACTTTTTATTAAAGTTATTTGAAATATTTTTTTTTATTAAATGTTATTTGAAAAAGTATGGGTGAAATTAAAATGGGACAAAGTATTTTAAAAAAAGGTATTTAAAAAAAAAAAGAGTTTCATTTTTGGGGACCTAAATATGAATTGTTCTCTATAACAGTGAAGATAATAAAATTAAAAACTTTTACAGTTCTTTTTTCGAAACTGAAGCAAATCCCTTTCTAATCGTCCAACTAGAGCAACAAGAAACTCAGCGTCTTTGATTGATAATATTATTACAACAGATATATTTGGCAATCATCCAAACAGGTATCCTAAAATCGGATATATCTGATCTTTTTCCAATATTTTTGTTGCTTAAATCAAACTCTAAAAATATAATCAAATAAAATTAAAATACTTTTAACGAAAATAATTTAAAAACCAATTACCACTTCTACACTGGAAGCATTTTAAGGATAATGCAGACAAAATTTACGCTTATTTTTTTAAATGAAACATTTTATTCCGTGTATGATGCTAACTTTCCTATCATTGTAAAAACAATAAATCCAAATAATATAAACAATCTATGGGTAACCAGGGATTTCAAAAATAAAACAGAAGCTTTTTATAAAATATCTTAAATCAAAATCATCTGCAATTCAAAAAATATATTATAGTTATAGGTATATAAAAAAATATAAATATAGTTACACTATGCTTTATTTTAAATGTTTCTTTTAAATAAAGTTAAACTCAAATATAAAAAAAAGATTATTTAAACCTATTATCAAAATCCATACAACAAAGTTTATTAATGACATTACTTCTCTCAGAATAATATGTGTATATATATAATTTTTTTATTGTTTTTGGTACTGTAGAAAATGTAAGCAGTTTAGCAATTACTACTTGCTACTTTATGTAAAACTTAAAACAATACGATATATTATCTCCTAATTTATATATTTATGTCTTTACAATGAAAATTTAGTAAATTACGATTTTATAAAAGTGGTGCTCGGTGATAAGATATTATTTCTTCTTCGTGCTCCAGCTATTTATTTTATTGTACATGTATATATATATATATATATATATATATATATATATATATATATATATATATATATATATATATATATATATATATATATATATATATATATATATATATACACAGTGGTGTAGGAAGGTTTTTAAATGTTTGAAATAACTTTAAACAAAAAAATCATTCTAAATTTTTTTACGTTCTTATGAATGACTAAAAGATTCTTCACAAAAAAAAAATTACTGTGATAGGAGAATGGGAACAAAAAAACGCTAAAATCTTACCCCCTTTCCTGCCCCAAACGTGAGATTTCATAATAGAATATTTTAGTTTTTAAAAATTATGACCCTATAAATTTTAAACCCCTCTCAATTTAAGGGGGTTGCAAATTTTTTATGGTCAATTTTTGAACGCTGAGAAATTATACTATGAATTTTAAAATTTCTCGATAAAAATAAGTCTAGTTAAAAATAATTCAAAAAATATTTCATCAGTTTGTTGTTCTCACGTTTGGGGCAGGGGGGTAAGATTTTAGGGTTTCTTGTTCCCAATCTCCTATCGCCTCCTTCCTTACCGTTACGCGAAATATGTCCAAAGCTCGTTTCAAACCTGGATCTCCTGCTTATAAAACAAGCTGTCTAACCACTGCGCCACGGCCGCACAATAAATATATATATATATATATATATATATATATATATAATATATATATATATATATATATATATATATATATATATATATATATATATATATATATATATATATAAAGAATACAATTACCTATTTGAAAAAGTTCGTAAAGTTGAAAAAAAATTATTACTCAAGACTCAGATAAATTTAAAAATAACTTAAAATGTACTTCGCAAATAATGAATAATATTAGTGGTACACAAAAAAGATGCTCAGGTTTCCTCCCCAAGCGGTTATAGTTAATAACAAACGTATATGCGAATCAAGAGCTATAGCTCATGAATTTAATATATTCTTTGTTGACATCAGTCCCAAACTAGCAAACAAAAATCCTTATACAAATGCTACATTTAGAGCTTTTTTAGTACAGATGGATTGCATTGGTTTTAATGAATTATCTTCTGGTCTATCTTTTCAAGAGTTTGAAAAGGCTTTCAAATCTCTTTTAAAAAATAAATCAACTGGAGCAGATGACATAAAAGGTGATATAGTCATGAAATGTTTTGAGTATTTAAAAGATTTCCTATTTAAAGTCTATGGAGCAATCTATACGCCAAGGAGTTTTTTTGAACAAATAAAATTCTCTAAAGTTACCCCAATTTTAAAAGAAGATTGCCAAACAAATACCAGTAATTATCGTTCTATCTCTGTTCTCTCCTTATTTTCAAAAATACTAGAACGCATAATGTACAACAGATTATACAATTATCTTCATTCTTATAATTTTTTTATATAATTACCAATTCGGCTTTAAAACAAATAACTCCACAGAACATGCAGTTATCCAGATTGTACGTGAAATCTCTAATTCTTTTAAAAAGTCTAAATATACGTTCGGTGTTTTCATCAACCTATCGAAAGCATTCGATACTGTCGATCATGAAATTTTACTACACAAGCTAAAATATTATAGAATAAATTGCAAAGTTATAAATGGTTTAAGAGTTATTTATCCAACCGTAAACAATTTGTTTTCAGCAATAATGATCATCAAAATAAATTTTTAAATATTTCATGTGGCGTTCCACAAGGTTCCAATTTGGGACCACTTATGTTCTTGATTTATATAAACAATCTAAATAAAGCCTCGAATTTATTGAGTATCTGATATGTTTGTTGATGACACTAACTTTTTCTTTTCTGATAATGACATTTACAAACTCTTTTATTCTAGGAATGATGAACTTAAAAGTATATCGAAATGGTTTATTTGCAATAAACTTACTTTTAACATTAAAAAAACAAATTAGGTTCTTTTCAACCCAGCCTCAAAAAAAGCTTATTTACCCGGAAATTTGCCTAAAATTTTTATTGATGATGTTGAAATAAAAAAACAAAATCTTACAAAGTTCTTTGGTGTTTTTTCTTCATGAAAAAATGGAAAACGTATATCGACTATATTGGTACAAAAATTTCTAAAAGTATTAGCCCAGCAGAATAGCAAAACATTAAAAGTATAAAACTTTTTTTACACTTAAAAAATAAGTATAAAATGCATTTAAGATATGGTGGCACGTCGAGTTAGTTGGATCTCGTACGTAAAAATCAAAATTGGATGTTGTGTTTATAATAAAACACAGACCAGATTTATTTCAGCATGAGTGCATTTTATAATATATTTATATAATTATATATATATATATATATATATATATATATATATATATATATATATATATATATATATATATATATATATATATATATATATATATTTGCTATTCAGGTACCCCAAGAAGACCTTACGGTCTTGTCACAGAGCATTTAACCAAAACGTTCACGCCTCCTTTCTTACCGTGAAGCCAAGAAGAGTTTGTAAATGTCATTATCGGAAAAGAATAAGTGAGTGTCACCAACAAATATATCAGATACTCATTAAATTCGAGGCTTAATATATATATATATATATATATATATATATATATATATATATATATATTTATATATATATATATTTTTTTTTTTGTAGAATAAAAATAATAATAAGATAGTATATATATATATATATATACATATATATATATATATATATATATATATATATATATATATATATATATATATATATATATATATATCGAATAAATTTTTTTGTTTATAAATAGTCTTGTTTTTATTTAAATTAATTTTTATCTAAGAACTTCTAAAACATTTCTAATCTGCGTTTTGTAAAACACGCAAAACTCATTTTGTTTAGTTAAGCAATAACGTATAAATACATATTTATACTAGCCTGTGAAAAAGCTTCGAAATTTATAATGGAATTGGCTTTTGATTAATCAATTCAATTTGAATCTAAAAAAATTATTCAAGTTTTCCGAATTCTTACCTGCTTTGTTTTTGTTGTGTTTTTTTTTAGATATTTGACGCTTTGGCGCTATCAAATTAATTTTATTTACCCGTAAATACCTTTTTAATTAAACGTTAACCAGGGCAAAAAACAGTTTAAAAAAAGTTTATTAAAATATTTTTTTCTGAAATATATAATTAAAAAAAAAATGCTTAAACTTTAGATTTCGAAAAAAGACCTGCTTCGATTCGTGTACTAAAAATGCCATTTAAAAATTGTTTAAATATATATATATATATATATATATATATATATATATATATATATATATATATATATATATATATATATATATATATATATATATATATATATATATATATATATATATATATATATATA